AGTAAGTGAATAGCAAAGGGTCCTTTGAAAATTTCTAGGTGGCGCTATTGAGCCATTTCTTATGGGATTTTTGCGATGACCTTAAAATACAAATTTTGAAACTCCCTTTACGCGTCCGCCAAGTTTGGTGAGTTTTTGAATATGATAAAGCCCCCAAAAAGGCCCCTCTTTAGGGGGGCAGAATAATAATAAGAAACAGTAGGAAAACAATAGGCCTTCGCAGCGCTTAGCTGCTCGGGCCTAATAATAATAATAAGAAACAATAGGAAAACAATAGGCCTTCGCAGCGCTTAGCTGCTCGGGCCTAATTAAAGCTGCAAGCAGCCTCGAACGGCCCTCGCAGCCAAGCGCCGCTCCGGCCTATTGTCCACCGCGGGGTACGAGCAACCGCCGCCTCACGCCAGCCACCACAGAAGCTCTCACGCAGTTTTCAGCACCTCCGGCCGCATTGCAGAAGCTGTTGCTGAGTTTCCATCAACGCTTCCCACGTTCCAACACAGAAGTTGTTCCGCAGTTTCCACGCCCGTCCACCAGGCGGTACGCATCGATGCGTTCGGCGGCGCTCCTTGACGATGCAAAAAAATGTGGTGCAGATTCATTGGTTTAGTGAAGAAATATAGCTGGCGGATTAATGTAGGTCGCGCAGTGGAGTCAAAATATATTTCAATGCTGTTTTTCTCTTTCGAGGTCAACAAAGGTCATACGTATCCAATTTGGCGTCAGTCGGAAGATCCACGTGTCATTTACAGTCGAACATATGCACAGGCGAAGTACTGCAGATCGTCATTTTTCATCATTTTCAGCTGTGTTTCTAAAGCACTCTATTTCATTGTTGGAGTAATACTTACTCAGAGTGGCGAATTACTGAAATGGTTTGGAAGAAGTAAGAAAACGCTACATTTACTGCATGATTTAATTCAACAAAAATTATCTGAGACATTTCTATCCTTTTAGAAATTTCATGGCAACGCTCTCACAAAGTTTTCACGCCCATCCGCCCGTGGATCTGTCATTGGTGGAGGAACACTGACACCTACTGGCGAAAAACTGATATTGTTCTTCATCCTGTTTATCTGCTGTTTCATTTGTGGAGCAATACTGACCCCAAGTGGCGAATTACTGAAATGGTTTATAAACGCCAAAAATGGGATCAAAATCTGAACTTCAATCTAAAATGGCCGACTTCCTCTGGGGTTTAGACCGTGGCTCCAAGAGACTTTTTTGTAAGTCCTGACATGGTACACATGTGTACAAAGTTTCGTAATTGTAGGTTAAAGCATGGCTTGGGGCTGATCATTTAAAATTTTCTAGGGGGCGCTATAGAGAAATTAGGCCACGCCCACCAAATATTGTGATGGATTCCTGTCGGGGAGTGGATGAAGATCCATCCTTGTGAGTTTGGAGCAGCTGCGCCCAAAAATGTGGAATTGAGAGCCAAACGTATGGGCTATGGCGTTACGGGTCACTTCGCCACGCCGCCACGCCCAGCTGCTCCATCGAAGCTGGTCGGGGTTGGAATCCTCAATACACCAACATGTCTTCTGTGTCTGGGCACAGTTTCATGTTGATGAGGTCAAAGGGGTGAGATAGCGACCGTTCAGAGTAAAACATGACACTTCCTTTTCTCAGGGGGCGTGGCCTAAGTGATGTCATCATTCGACCATAGGGTATTGTAGGACACCCGATGATGATGAATCACAGAAACTCTGGTGCCTCTGTGAGTTTCTGTGTAGGAGATAGAGCAGTTTATTTTTTTATGGCGAGTAGGTGAACTTTGACCCCTGCTAACCCCCCTTCAGCATTCTCAAAAACTCACCGTTTAGATAACTTTAGATGGGACATGCCTTATGAGCAGACTGACCGAGTTTGAAGCCGATCAATCAAAATCCCTAGGAGGAGTTGGATCAAATAGGAAGGCTGTAAACGGCAAAAATGGGGTCAAAATCTGAACTTCAATCCAAAATGGCCGACTTCCTGTGGGGTTTAGACCATGGCTCCAAGAGACTTTCTTTTAAGTCCTGACATGATACAAATATGTACAAAGTTTCGTAATTGTAGGTTAAAGCATGGCTTGGGGCTGATCATTTAAAATTTTCTAGGGGGCGCTATAAAGAAATTAGGCCACGCCCACCAAATATTGTGATGGATTCCTGTCGGGGAGTGGATGAAGATCCATCTTTGTGAGTTTGGAGCAGCTGGGCCTGAAAATGTGGAATTGAGAGCCAAACGTATGGCGATGGCGTTACAGGTCACTTCGCCACGCCGCCACGCCCACCTGCTCCATCAAAGCTGGTCGGGGTTGGAATCCTCAATACACCAACATGTCTTCTGTGTCTTGGCACAGTTTCATGTTGATGAGGTCAAAGGGGTCAGATAGCGACAGTTCACAGTAAAACATTACACTTCCTGTTCTCAGGGGGCGTGGCCTAAGTGATGTCATCATTCGACCATTAGGTATTGTAGGACACCCGATGATGATAAATCACAGAAACTTTGGTGCCTCTGTGAATTTCTGTGTAGGAGATATAGCAGTTTATGTTTTTATGGCGAGTAGGTGAACTTTGACCCCTGCTAACCCCCCTTCAGCATACTCAAAAACTCACCGTTTTGATAACTTTAGATGGGACATGCCTTCTGAACAGACTGACCGAGTTTGAAGCCGATCAATTGAAATCCCTAGGAGGAGTTCGAACAAATACGAAGGCTGTAAACGGCAAAAATGGCCTCAAAATTGGACCTTCAATCCAAAATGGCCGACTTCCTGTGATACTTGCACTATGACATTAATTGTAAATTTTGAGCATCTTGGGGAGCTCTACAAGTGTACCAAATTTCATGTCTCTAGGATAAAGTAAGTGAATAGCAAAGGGTCCTTTGAAAATTTGTAGGTGGCGCTATTGAGCCATTTCTTATGGGATTTTTGCGATGACCTTAAAATACAAAATTTTGAAACTCCCTTTACGCGTCCGCCAAGTTTGGTGAGTTTTTGAATATGATAAAGCCCCCAAAAAGGCCCCTCTTTAGGGGGCAGAATAATAATAAGAAACAGTAGGAAAACATAGGCCTTCGCAGCGCTTAGCTGCTCGGGCCTAATAATAAACAGTACAGAAACAATAGGCCTTCGCAGCGCTTAGCTGCTCGGGCCTAATAAGAAACAGTAGGAAAACAATAGGCCTTCGCAGCGCTTAGCTGCTCGGGCCTAAAAATACATCCAGACTATTTGGGCCAGTTATTATCGCGGGTTTAAATAATGTGAGGGTTTTAATTGTGTCGGTTTTAAGGGCCGTTAACAAACATGCAGGGAATAAATCGATTCCAAACATTTATGAATAAACACCGAGGCTCTTAAATGTGTATACGCTTGAAATATTAAAGTGATATTTGTGACTGTATGGAAAATAGAGCAGCATATTGCAGTAAGCATATAACGGGGAGCAAAAGAAGATTTCCGCATGTCCTTTACAGGGCCCCGTATGAATACTTTGTGGAGAGTTTATATTGGGAATAGTTCTGTATTATTTGTATTTAAATGAAGCTGTGTGTGTGTGTGTGTGTGTGTGTGTGTGTGTTGTTGACAGTCGCTCTGAGGCTCCTGCCTCTTTAAATCAAAATCCCGTTAATGAAAATCCCCTGAGCTCCCCGCCCTCCGCTCCGAGGCAGGGAGTCCGGACGGGACCGGAACTGGATCCCGGACCACCGCAGACCCGTCCTCCCAGCCAGGTACGGTACCGTTCAGCCCTAGCAGCAGCGGGACCGGCCGGCAGCGGCCGCCCGCGCGCTGCTCCCCCCGCTGAGCCGGCAGCTGCTGTCGGAACCGGACGGAGCTACGCTCCGGGTCTGGACTCTCCCGGACAGGTTGGGGTTGATTTCAGGTGTTTGCTGGTTTCTGTGCACAGGGCGACCCTGCTGGGCGGAGCTGAGAGCCAGGGCGGGGCAACCTGGCCCAGGTGGAAAGTCACACAGTTTCTATGAGAGGCTGCAGGTTTGAGTTCAGAGACTGAAAACATCTCCAGACAGTTGCTCTGCTGGTTCTGGTCCAGTTCCGCTGGTTCTGAACGGCTAATGGAGCAGAGCTGACCTTTACTCAGCCTGAGCCGGAGGAGGGCACACTCCATTTACCAGCTGGTCTGACCTTTCAGACAAGGCCACTTTATTAGGTACACCTGATGGATGGGTGGATCGAGCAGGTGCTCTCCAGGCCTCCTGAGACTCTGTGGGTCCCTGCAGAGGCTGCCTGTCCCAGTTCTGCAGAACCATGGATCTGGATCTCTGTTAGGGCCCATAGGTTGGTCTGATTGGGAGGAGCCCAGGAGGAGGATGGATCTGGAGCCTGCAGAGGCTCAGCAGCGTCTCTGTCGGATTCCCCTCTAAACTTAGTAGGTGACATTCGACACTGAGCAGAACCAGCTGCACTGGGATCAGCCTCCCCACCCTGAACAACAGGCTACATGCTACAAGTTTCAGGCTACATGCTGTAGCTTGCATGCTACATGCTACAGGTTACATGCTACATGTTACATCCATGATCCAGGTTAGGGTTAGCATCAGGAAAAACTGTTATTAGAGGTCCTTTTAATGATTTTCATCCAGACTGAAGCCAATAAGAAATGATAAGGATCCATTTCTGCTCCTGGTTCTGGACTCAGTGATGGTTCTGGACTCAGTGATGGTTCTGGAGTCGGTGATGGTTCTGGACTCAGTGTTTGAGTGGTTCTGGTCCCAGTGAGGTATTTGGCCTCCTGTTGCTGACCTTTCCCGTATCGGACCTCTCGGCGCTATCATCTCCAGATAACAAGACGTTTCCTGCCGGCTCCTGGTTGTGTCCGTGGGAGACCCTGTAGAGGGTCTGGAAGAATCGGAGGGTCTATATTAACCTGGTGAATCACAGCGAGCCTGGCATTCCCCGTCTCCTTTCACGCCATATAAGTCCTACCCCTCCTCCCCGTCCGCACCCCCTCCCACAATGCCGCGCTGCGATCCCTGGCTATTCTTAGCGCCGCGCCCCGCCGCCTCATCTTCCTCAGCCTTCCTCAACCTTCCTCCTGCCTGACCATTCAGACGGTTCCTCTCTTCCAGAGCGTCTCTGCGGTTCGGAACCGAGGATCCGCCTGGAGGAATGAGCTGCTACACGGTGACCCTGCCGGGCCCCGGGCCCTGGGGCTTCAGGCTGCAGGGGGGCAAGGACTTTAACATGCCACTGACCGTCTCCAGGGTAAGCATGGGGTCCGATCCGGTGGGGTCCGATCCGGCAGAGGGGTGTAAATACTTAAGGAGAGTTTCTGGTCGGACTGAGACTCTTTGCTGAACCAATCAGCCTCCAGCTCTGGTTTCATCATCAGGGAGACGTTACAGTGAAGCTGCTTGTTGCTCCCATCATCCCACGACTGGCTGCTGAGTTGGGCCTGCTGCTGCGCCCCCTCAAGGCCCCCGAGGCCTCGGCGGCCCCTCATTGCCTCGGCGGCCCCTCATGGCCTCGGTGGTCCCCCGTGGCTTCCACGGACCCTCGTGTCCTCGGCAGCCCCCCGTGGCCTCCGTGGCCCCTCATGACCTCGGGGGACCCCTAATGGCCTTGGCTCCTCATGGCCCCTCATGGCCACCTGTGGCCTCCACGGCCCCTCATCACCTCGGGGGACCCCTAATGGCCTTGGCGGCTCCTCATGGCCCCTCATGGCCACCTGTGGCCTCCACGGCCCCTCATTGCCCCCGAGGCTCGACAGCCCGTCATGGCCTCCGCGGCCCCTCGTGGCCTGGTGGCCCCTGAAAACAGAGCTGCAGCTTCTAAAACTGGACAGGGTTTATGTTTCCAGAGCTCGGTCTCTGAATAGCAGGTTCTGTCTTCATGGCCGCGCTGGCATCTGTTCTGGTTCTGCTGGTTCTACTGGGCCCTTCTGTTGGTGACTCTGGAACTAAACTCTAGAACATTAAACCAGAACAATAAAAACCCAGAAGTGTGGTTCTCCTGAGGTTCTGCAAGCCCAGGTTGCTCTGACAGTGACCAGTGGTCGGCTCGGCTAACTGGAATTAGCTAAGCTAACCCTAAAGCGCTAATCATAAACATTAGATCTGCTAATGCTAACTCATTCATTCATTTGTTATGCTCTTAATATTTGTTCAGTTTATTTATAAAATAAGCCGATACAATATTTTGAACAAACTTCAAAATAAGAGCATGAATATAAATGCTCAACTGCTTGGGGAATTATTAAGTTGATAACTAAAACTTCAAATTTGTGCTTTAGAATCTGTTTGGAACAGTTAATTTAGGGAAGCAGATTGTGGTAAAAGTTAACAAAGCCGCTAAATGTAACGTTAGCTCTGCGATTAGCAGAGTGGCGTTAGTATGTCCTCCACTGCTAGCTTCTTCAAGTCATCTGGATCGTTGGTTCGCTGTCTTTCTTCCTCTTGATATCAGTCCATTTATTCCCTTCAAGGTTCTGGCCAGGCCTGTTGAGCTGCTGTTGCCAGAGTGATAAACTGGTACTGTTTGTAATGTGGGTCGGTACCAAGTCCTGCTGGAAATTGAAATCAGCGTCTCCTTAAAACTTGTCATCAGAGGGAAACATGAAAAGCGCTGAGTTTACACTTTTTCCTTCCACTGAATTTTCCACTCATATTGTCCCAACTCTCAGTAGCAGCCCATGTCATTAGAAATGAGTGTTTTCTGAAAGGTTCTAATCGGTCCAGTAGAACTGTTCTGTCATAGACATTTTTATTGGTCCGATCTGATGGTTCTGTTGGTTCTGATGGTTCTGTTGTGGTCCGGTGTCTTACGAAGCCTCGTATGTTCTGGTTGATTTGAACCGAACATTTTTATCCAGAGGGAAGAAGCAGCTCGGTTCTGGTTCTGGTCACCTGGTTCAGATGTCAGAACCTCCTGCAGTTCTTGAGGTTCTACTGATGTTGGACTTTAATGTTCTGAAGGTGTCAGGAGAACCAGAACCATCAGTGACAATCAGAGACATGAAGCGCTTCTGGAAAAATGTATTTCTATTCATTAATTTATCAATTTGGATTATTTAATGTTCTAACGGTAACATCAGCTGTTTATGGGTCTGAACCATCACAGTTCTACCCTTTTATAAGTTACCAGATTAGCCTGGAAGACCCTCAGGTGGTTCTGATCCGGTCTGCAGGAGGTTCAGATAAACTAAAGGTTGATGTTGCAGTCGGCCAACAGGGGATCCTCTGGAAACAACAGCAGGAGGCGGCGCTATCTCTGGTACCAGGATCGATGGGGTTTTGGTATCAGAAGAACCGTTTTGGAGCAAACATCAGGTTTTCTCTGGTTCCTCATTTATATGGGTCCAAACTGCAGGAAGGAAAGTTCTGGTATCAAGGTTTGGATTATTTGGCCAAACTGCTGAGCAGAACTTGAGCTGATTGTGACTCAGTTAGCAGCTATAATTTGGGTTATTCATCATTCAGTCATACGTTCACCATGGGATTCACTCATTCATAAATGTCACCATTTAAAGCAAAACATTTAATTAGCGAGCTAAATATTTATGTTTTACCAACTAAATGTTAATCTGCAGAAACTGAAGTGATTCAGTTTCACCAGCAGGATGATAGAAGTTAGCAGGCTTTTACTTTGACAGTCCACTTCCCCTCATCAGGGGGGATTTTCCACATTAGCGAAACAGTTAGCTCTGTGCTAGCTAGATATGGAGATGGAAATATTGAAGTTCTCAACAAAATGGTTGAGTAGGAGTTAAACATTTGCTCCAGACTGCAGCTGTGCTACTAAATACTTAGATTCAAACTGTTTAGTTTAAAGGAAACTATTCAGCTGGTCAAGTTTTTAGTTCCAAGTGAAATATTTAGTATGAAGTGAAGCAAAAATATGACTAAAAAAATTAACCCAAATTATTGCTGTTAATTTCTGAGTGTAGCTTTAGTAATGGCTCTCTGTACATTTCTACAAACGTCTGAACTGGTTTCCCTTTAAACTGGTTTGTCCATCAGCTGAACTGGATCCAGTGACTCAGAGGGAATGTTTTCATTTCTTCTCTTCTGTAATCTGTGAAGGATGCAGCTTTCTGCTGATCTTTGTGTCATGTTTTGCTGTTGCTGCAAAGCGCAGCGGCTCTTTGCCCTGCAGGCGTCGGTTTTCCTGCAGCTTCAGCTGCTCCTGTAAACTTTACAGTGAAAGGCGAGCCGGCGGTAACCGGAGCCGTGCTGCAGCGCGGCGCTGACCCGGCCAGCACCGTCCCGGCCAGCACCATTCCGGCCAGCGACTCCCACAACTCCCATTACAGCAGCGGGGGCATCCCACATCCGCAGAGCCCAAATTAGACCTGCAGGGATGCTGGTGGATCCTATAGTGAAGAGGTCAGAGGTCAGAAGGAAACCCTACAGTTTTATATCAAACAAATACAGAAACATAAATATTTACCTCTTTTAAAGTGTTTTAGACCTTTAAGCAGATCAGATTTAAGGCCATAAATCAGAAATATTAGATTACTGAGAGAGAATCCATCCCAGAACCAGAACCAGAACCCTTCACGTCGGAACCAGAACGTCATAGATCACAGCCTAATGGGACATCTGGGATTGAAACGTCAGAAACTAGATGAAACGTCTGCTGCAGGACATAAACATCAATAACGTCTTGAAGGTCACAGCAGAAGAAGCAGAAGCAGCAGAAGAAGCAGCTGGTCTGGGCGCCATGTTGGTGAAAACATGGCCGCCGTGTTGGTGAAAACATGGCCGCCGTGTTGGTGAAAACATGGCCGCCGTGTTGGTGAAAACATGGCCGCCGTGTTGGTGAAAACATGGCCGCCGTGTTGGTGAAAACATGGCCGCCGTGTTGGTGAAAACATGGCCGCCGTGTTGGTGAAAACATGGCCGCTCGCTGAGAGCAGATCTGCATCAGTCAATAGCTTAAATGAGCAATTTAGCATCTTAGCATTAGCAGAACTAATGTTTATGATTAGCACTTCAGAGTTAGCATAGCTAGCTTTTAACTAGTGGGGGTCACTACAGTGTAACATAATTTAAAAATAATAACTGACCATAAATGATCCAGAAACCGGATCGCTATGGAAACGAGAAACGGTGACAGGAATATTCTATAAAATTAAGTTACGAAATTCAACAAAGAGCTTCAGGTAGATTAACAAGTTTAAATAATTAACCCTGAACTGAAACTAGATCAAATATCTGGTGATAACTTTATCAAAACATGATGAATGTTCTGATTTTCTAAATATTTCTGTTGGTTTTATGTTTAGCGGTGAATAAACTTTCATTTTTTAATGATGATTCTTTTCTTTCTGGAACCAAAACAAATTAATTTATTCAGATTAAATTACCAGAAATCAGAGAAATGTCTGAATCTGAACTACATGAAGCTGAAGCGTTTTGGACCGGCGGATCAGAAGCAACCAGAACCAGGGATCCTGGCGGCCGGTCCGGTCCGACCCAGTTGCGAAATGTGAGCCATGCAGGCTGCGACCTGTATGTGGGTCAGAGAGGCTCTGAAACCGGGCCGCCGCACAGGCCCGGCATTGTTCGGGCTCAGTGAGCAGCTTCCTGTTAAACTTCACGATCTGGTTCTGATTAATCTGGCAGCCAATCGGACCAGGAGCTGAGCTGGGGTCACAAGGTTCTGGAGGGTTGGAGAAGTTCTGGAAGGTTCTCCCTCTCAGCCCACTCTGATTCTGTCTCCCAGCGAGATTATTTGTCCCTAGATTACAGTAATCTGAGTGAACGGATGATAAATCGATCTGTTCTCATTCCACTGATTGTTTCTTGGAACGCCAGCGGTAATCCGCCGTGGCGCTGACCCGTTCTCCGTGTTCTGGCCCGGTTCTCTCTGTTGAGACAGATAACGCCGGGCAGCAAGGCGGCGCAGGGGAACCTTATCCAGGGCGACGTCATCGTGGCCATCGACGGCGTCGGCACCGAGGGGATGACCCACCTGGACGCCCAGAACAAGATCAAGATGGCGCACCACAGCCTGGCGCTCACCATGACCAAGTGAGGACCAGAGGTCACCTGAGGTCACCTCACCTGCAGAACCAGCAGCACTCATGATTTTTCTCCTGCAGGTCGAAGCGCCCCGTTGCCTTGGCGCCGCCCAGAATGGACGCCGTGATTCCCATGATCCCTCACCAGCAGGTAGCTCCGCCCCCTTGACTGCAGCTTCTCATGGTTCAGAAACTCTTTGCTGCCTCCAGTGGCGACATGAGGAACTGCTCCTTACAGCAGAACATCTCAGAATGTCGCATTAGAGAGGAAAACGTCTCACCAGTCGTCTCACAGTGAAGCGTCACACTGTGATGTCATGACTATGGCTGCAGCTGACTGGTTGCCAGGGAGATTCACTGTCATAAGAGGAGCTTGTACTTTACAGAAACTTCACATTTATTCTTCAACCATCCGTTTCTCATCAGTCTATGATTTTCTGAGAAAATTAATTTTGGGTTTTCTTTACCTGGAGCCATGACCAATAAAACTGCAAAACATATAAAGGCTTAAAATATTTTAGTCCCTGTGAGATGAATCTATTTGAAAAGTTTTTCACTTTCTGAGATGACTGGTGAGAAATATTGAAATTTATCACAATACTCTGTTTGATATTTAAAAAAAAATAAAGTTGATCTATTTCTGCTGCTGGATTATTAATCTGTCTGCTTCACCAATAATCAAACGATAGGAAACTGATAGATATAAATTAAAACAACAGTTAGATGAATCATTCCCAGCAGCACAGGGCATTCTGGGTAATCAAGGCTAGCGTGTTAGCCTAGCGCTAGCAGCAGAAATGGCTCCTGGTCTTCAGCCAAAGACTAAAGAGAAATCACTAAACTCTGACGCCTCCATCTTGTTTCATCTGGTGAAACAGGAAGTTGCTCTCAGTGTCTTCAGAGTTTTAGTGTTGTTTCCTGCAGTGGTTGTTGATGCAGCGCCCCCACAGGCCAGGAGGGGAACAGGCTGGTCAGACTCAGAACCACAGCAGCTGGAGGTGGAGCAGATGTTCTGGTTACAGTAGAACCGGGTTGACTGGACCGTCAGGAGGGAACAGACTGAATGTAAATGTTTAGGGTTAGAATAAAACCGTCACTGTTAAATAGTTGGAAGTGATTTTAGCTGCAGTTTGTATTTCTGTTGTACCAAAACTCCTCCACATAAATCTGATAGTTTGAAGATAAAATATACCAACCGAGTTGTTAAATATGGTCCAGATTCTAATTTTTAGCAAAGTGTGATTTTAGTCTTAAACTGGATAAGTCCTGCTGTGAGTCTGTCCCTCAGATGACCCCTCATGTCTCCTCCTCCCGGCGCCCGGCGCCTCAGGTAAACGGCCGTGCGTCTGCGCCGCCCCAGCCTGCGGCGGCCGGCTCTCCGGGGAGGAGTGGCGCGGCGCCCAGCCCCCACCACCGGGGGCAGTATAACTCCCCCATCGGCCTGTACTCAGAGGAGACTCTGAGGGAGATGGCGGCCATGCAGGCGGGGTACGTAGAGAGCATGCCACTAACGCTGCTGACCTTTGACCCCAGGGAGGAGGAACCAAACCTGATCAGAACATTTAGGGATGAAACTTTTAGCTGAAGCGCAGAGGTCAGTTAATCCAGAGCGGCGATTCTTCAGCTGGGTTTGGTGACCGAGCCAACGCCGAGGCCGGACACCTGTCGGAGCGAGGGCGTCTCTAAAGGTCAGGGGTAACCCGACCCCACCCCAACACGCGTCACAAGGGTTCGGGACTGAAATTATAGATGACGGTTGACTTGTAGAGGAATTAAAACAAACGTTCTCAGCATTTAATCCAGAAGAATCCAAAGATTCAGCAGCTGGAGATCTGGAGCTGCTCCGGTTTAAACACGAGAAGCAGAGGGCAGAGATTTACATCTACATCTTTAATCTGGTTCCGGAACCAGATTAAAGGTTCTGCAACCAGATTAAAGGTTCTGGAACCAGATTAAAGGTTCTGCAACCAGATTAAAGGTTCTGGAACCAGATTAAAGGTTCTGCAACCAGATTAAAGGTTCTGGAACCAGATTAAAGGTTCTGCAACCAGATTAAAGGTTCTGGAACCAGATTAAAGGTTCTGGAACCAGATTAAAGGTGGTCCTGGCCCGTTTGGAGGAGGACCTGAAGGTTCTTGATGAAGAACGCCTCCTGCTGACGGACGCTGATCTTCATTTCTTCATGTGAAGGCTTTTGTTCAGCCTCTGATGATGTTTCTTCTTCTTCTGTTTCTGTCGTCTGTTTGTCTCCAAGGTTTTCTGCCCCGCTCCTCCCAAGTTAGTACCCTGTCTGCTGTGTGTCTGACGGTTTGCTGTGGTTCTGCTGGATGTCTGTAGATTAGCACGAATCTTTAGCTGCTGGAACCTCAGTGGGTAGTTTAGTGTTTCTGGGAGTGAAAATGTCTTGATCAGAAAATAATTTAATCTCTTAATTCCTTTTATTTCTGTCTCAATGTCAGATTATGACAGTAATCAGCGTTTGACACCAAATCCAGTTCAGCCAAACCTTCCTGCAGACTGCATGCTGCCGAGTGCATGAATTGCATTATTATTATATTAGTTATTATTATTACTGCTAATATTGAAAGATTTTTCTACAGTTAGAAATAAAGATGAAAGTTTTGTTTCTGGCGAAATGGGACGAAGTTTTAATTCTTTGTGACGTTTATTCAGTTCCAAGTTTGGTTTCACGAATAGTTTCCTCGTCAGTTTGAGGACATTTAGTTATGTTGATGCACAGTAGCGTCTCCGACGCGTCTCCAGAGCCTCCCATCGGGTCTCCTATGTGTCTTGATGTTCTGGTTGAGGCCAGCCCAGTCCTGCTTGCTGGTTCTGAGGTGAACCGGGCCTGTGCTGTGTTTGCTGTGAGCATGCAGCTTTCTGGTTGCTTCTTCTTCTTGTTTTAAACTCAAACCCAGTCGTCCAACCGTCCTGTCCTCCGTGTCTTCCTGGTCTTGTCCGTCCTCCCCCCTCAGTGCCGGCTTCAGCCCCGGCGTACTAAGGACTCGGGCCTGTCGGCCCAGAAGACCATCGAGGTGACGGGTCCGGGCGGGAAGGCCACCATCATCCACGCCCAGTACAACATGCCCATCAGCCTGTACTCGCAGGACGCCATCATGGACACCATCGCCGGCCAATCGCAGGCCAAGGGACACGATGCTGGGTAGGACGCTGCCTGATGTCCAACTCTTTGGACAAGTTGGTGCTTTGGGTAAAATCTGACCTCCGTGGAGGTTCTGGTTCTGTTGGGTTCAGTTCTGAGCAGCTGAACTGTCTGAGCTCAGTCCTCCACTTTTATTGTCCTGTTTCATTCGAAGGTCCGTTTATTGACTTGTTGCTCTGCTGGGTTCTGGTTCTGGGAACTCTAGGAGATCCAGACTCTAGTTCTGGTTCTGGTTGCTCTTCTTGATTACCTTTGCTGTCAGAAGGATCAATAATCACAGACGGTTCTGATGGTGTTGGTTCTGTTCAATAATAGTGTTCTGGTTCTGATGGTCGGCTTGTAGGTTCTGTTTCCCTTCGTTTCTATTTCGCTGTGATGAAAAACAAAAACTGATTTTTAATACGTTTATTAAAAACAGTAGAAACTCATTAAAATAATCAATATTTCTGATGTGCAAAATGAAAAACTTTAGAAAACAAACCAGAAAGTCTTAAAAATATGAGTTTTAGGGCCAGAGTGAAAACTGAGAATGAAGTCAGAACATCAAAATAAAATTACAAGAAAAAAGTTTTAATGAGTAAAAGTTTGAAGAGTTTTCAGGATTTGATGATCAGTTCAGACGTTTACTGTTAATCATAATAATTTGATGCCAAATATAATTTCACAAGATGCTCAAAATTTATAATTTTAATTTTTTTTGTTGGAGGAGCTGACATAAAATTATAACTTTATTCTGGAGATTTAAAAAAAAACCCAGATTGACCCTGAATGACCCCAGATTGACCCTGAATGACCCCAGATTGACCCTGAATGACCCCAGATTGACCCTGAGTTCTGCGCGTCTCTGGAGGTGAAAAATGTTGACTGAAGAGAAAATCTCTGAATGTTCTGATCCGGTTTCTCCTCTGATCAGTTCTTGTTTTATTTTCCCATCTCAGTATCAAGTCAGTGTGTCTTTAACCCAGTTAACCCAGTTAACCCAGTTAACCCAGTTAACTCAGTTAAACCAGTTAACCCAGTTAACCCAGTTAAACCAGTTAACCCAGTTAACCCAGTTAACCCACTCAGATCGAGGAGCCGGAGCTCTTCCAGCTCTGGCTCTGATTGATGCTCCTGAAGCGGTTCTGTTCTGACCCGGTCCGGTTCTGGTTGCAGTCGTGTCTCTGTAAGCGACCGGCTGGTGGACAGCGCCTCTCCAGTCTGCCAGGCGGTCCGGACCACAGACCAGAACCAGAACCAGAGTGACTGGAGTCGCCGCGGCGCCCAGTCCAAGACGTTCCAGCTGCTGGCCCATCTGACCCAAACCGAGCCCAGTAGGTCTGGTTCTGCTGGTTCTGGAGGACAAAGGCGGAGCGATCAATGGGTTCTTTATTTCTGCTTCCAGCTCAGCAGCAGGAGGATGAGGAGGAGGAGGAGGTGATGAAGAGGAGCAGGTAGACTCCGCCTCCTCACCTGAGCACCCCCCTCTCCCTCCCTCACTTTACTGACCCGAACCTGCAGGTCCATTTCTCCAGCTGCATGCAGTGAGTGTGTGTGTCCAGCAGGGGGAGCTGCAGCTCTGCAGGCTGACCTGGATCCACTGGATTTCTGGAACGAGACGGAAACGGATCCAGAATGTCAAACCTCATGATGGGAGCATAGAGCTCCAGAACATATCGGTGTTTCAGTCGCCTCACTTTATTTTAACAGGAAACTAAATACACACAGCAGACAAACATTCATAAAACTTAATATTTCTTAATGAACCGTCTGCCGGGTTTCTAGCATCAGTTACCCTGGCAACAGACACAGGAAGTTGGAAACCTGAGCAGAACGTAAAGTTTCTCCTGTTGCTTCAGTCCCGAGTTTCTCTGGAGGCAGAAACAGCAGAAAGCATCATGTGAGTGTAACAGGCTCCGCCCACCGGCCCGCCGCCGCCGGGCGGCGGCTCTCTGCTCTTCATCCTCCATTAATCCCATCGATCCTCCAGGCTCCACTGGTCCTGGATCGATGCAGCAGCGGTCGGCTGTTTCCTCCAGAGAGTTTATTTTGTCTCTGGGAGGAAGAGGAAGCAGATTAGATCCAACTGAAGGTCGACTTCCTGCTGGAAACGGATTAAAACACTCAGTTCATTTCACTCCTATAAAACAGCAGATGTGTTAAAATGTCAGATTGAAAACAACAAGAAACAAGACAATTTAAATATTCTGCAAGAAATAATAAAACTTGTTTCAGAACCACAAAAAATAACATTGTTTGGTTATTTATCTCTAACAATATTAAATCAGAAGCTTTATTTAATTAACTTCACAGTTTCCACTTTGATATCCCAAAACAATGCCTTTTATTAAACTAATAAAGACTAACATTTAACTTTCACCACATTAAATATTTTATATATCAACTCAGTTTTCCATGGTTAAATGTCTTTTGACTGTTTGCCAGAGGAAAAAATACATATTTTGCAGAAGAAAATCCCAAAGTGCTCAATATTTTCCAAATAAACACCAAGGAGTAATAATTGGGTGCTTCAGTCTTGGTTAAAAATTAATATTATTGATTATGAGGATTATAACATTTAACCATTAGATCCAAACAGGATTCAGAATTGAATAAAAACCAGTAACAGATGTGAGCAGGAGTCTGACATGGAGATGATGTCATGGAGGAACGTCTGACCTCTTCCTCCTCCTCCTCTTCCTCACTGCTCCAGATCTAATAAAGCTCTAATCACATTGATCCAACATCCAGCTGCTGCTCCCAGCAGGGATTCATCCTGAAACATTCCTGACTCCCAGCAGATCACCCGTCCTCTGATTGGACAAAACCCCAGCAGATCATCAGCTTGTGAATGTAGACGGTTGACAGGAAGCAGTAGAGGTCAGAGGGTGAGGAAGTGTTGATTTCAGTCTTCAGAGAGAGGCGGTGCGTTTAAGTGTTTCACAGAGAGTGGGACATCAGGCCACCTGCTGAGCTGATTGGTCGATTAAAGAGGCAGAAATATTTCTGAAGAAACTTTGAGATGGTTGGATGGATGAAGAGAGCATTACTTGGTCACACCAAGCAGCCAATCAAAGGCTCTGTAGCCTGACCAATCAGAAGACAGTCCGTGATGAAGACTGCACCTTCACATGAAGGCTCTGCTGTGGGAATTGAACCTTCGATTTTAACATGTGTTTGTGCTTTTCCAGCCAGTACGGGATGGCCCGCCCACGCACCAGGCTCCGCCCCCTCAGCAGTTCCAGCCGCAGCAGTTCCAGCCCATGCCGCCGCTCTACCAGCAGCCTCCCCCACTCCAAGCCCCGCCCACCCAGCAGAGCTCCATCCAGATCCCCGTTGGCTCCGCCCCCCGAAGGTGGTGAGCACGGCCTGCATCTTCCCCTCCCAGCCAGGTGAGGGAGTGTGAATATGGTGGCCGTCAGAGGGCGCACATCAGCAGATATCAGGCTGTAACCAGAACACCTGTCAGTCAGAGTGAAGGTCAGAGGTCACCATTGCTGATTCTCAGAGTCTCAAAAGGCTTCAGCATAATAAAAGCCAATATATAACAACGCTGTTTTTAGGAGAAGCTAATGCTAAAACCAGAGTTATTTCACTCCTAGATTTGAGCTGAAGAGAAGCTCAGTGCGCTAAGCGCTTTCAGAGTCAGCCTGTCTGTTCACTTTGTGATGCTATCAGACCGTGTTGCCTGTGTCTGCAGCTCCAGTCCAGCCCCGCCCTGCAGCAGCCGCCCCACCCCCTGCCGCTCCTCTCCGGGTTCCTCCACCGCCAACCGACCGCCCTGGGTGACCGACACCAACTTCGCCGATAAGTTCGACCCGGGGAAGACCACCACCTCCTCCGCGAAGGTCCAGCCGCTTCCTCAGGCGGCTCCGCCCCCGCCGGCGTACATCCCTAACCCGTCCCCCGCCGGCCGCCCGCCCCCAGCTCCGCCCACATCACACCGAGCCCCGCCCCCTTCCTTCCTGTGGCGAGGGGCGTGGCTCAAAGAGCAGAGAGGTTCGCCGCCAGCAGCGCACGCCTCTGTGTTCAGCGTGCAACAGCGTCATTAGGTACGGGCCTCGGCGTTCATCAGAGCGGCTCGTTGCGGTGCATAGTGTGTGACGGTGTTGCTGTGGTCCCAGGGGCCCCTTCCTGGTGGCCCTCGGCCGGTCCTGGCACCCCGAAGAGTTCAACTGCCACTACTGCCACGTCTCCCTGGCCGACGTCAGCTTCGTGGAGGAGCAGAACAACGTCTACTGTGAGAACTGCTACGAGGAGTTCTTCGCTCCAACCTGTGCCCGCTGCAACACCAAGATCATGGGGGTGAGGCAGACCCTGGGGTCATAGGTCATCCTGACTCTCATGTAGTGGTTAGAAAGCCACTTTGCACGTGTTTTGAGTTTAAAGCTCTGAGGTGATGGGAATGGGAACAAAGTCTTGACATAGTTAGCAAGCCAGCTAATGGTAATGCTAGCACAGGAATCGCATAGAAGGAAAGCCAAAAAGGGCAAAAACAACGAGAATTATACAGGATGGCTCAGTCCTCAGGGAGCTAACTGCTAGCACACCGCGCTAACATTAGCAATAGCAGAAAACACAATGCTACTGCGAGCAAAGCAATGACCAGGATGTCATAGCAACACAGTTGTCTTTTGCACAACAAATACTCCACCTCTGATGTGGGAACATTTCCGAGAGAAATGGTGCTAAGAGGTTCTGATGGCTTAATTCACCAACAACCAAACATTTTGACCTCCATTTGTAGTTTCAAATCCTGGAACTTGGACTACAAAATTACTGCAAGAAATAAAAATGGCAGATTTGTGAAATTGGTGAGAAATCCAAACACAAAACAGAGAAGAGACGAGAGACCAGATTCATCATCAATGCTGTTCTAGAAATTCAAAGTATACACAAAATATATTTAAGGGCTAAAAAAAAAATTGTTTGCATTATACATAAATATTTAACATTACAATAGTTTATTTTTTCTGATTTTTGAGATTCTGAGGCCTTGGTTAGTTTGTTGCCTCTGGTGTTTCTCTGAGTGACGTAACGACCACATGCGTTGCAGGAAGTGATGCACGCCCTGCGGCAGACGTGGCACACCACCTGCTTCGTGTGCGCCGCCTGCGGGAAACCGTTTGGAAACAGCCTGTTCCACATGGAGGACGGGGAGCCGTACTGCGAGAAAGGTACAGCGGACCCCGTTCTCTGGGACAGAACCGGGTTTATACTGGAGGCTTCAGGTCCACCAACAGGGAACATGGTCTGAAGAGACGACCAGGAAAAGACAGGGAACTTGGTCCTGCTGGTGGTTAAAGTGGTTACATCAGTAGGAAGGTGGAGCTGGTTTTGTTGTTGTGGAGATGAAGATTTGTTTCATAAATTATCTGTGATGATTTTAATTTCCTTGCTATCAGTGGTGGTGCTGCTAGCTTTAGCTAACTCTAAACGCTAAAAATAAAAATTCTGAAGTTGGAACACCAACATAGTAAACAGTGGAAGCTAATGCTAAAGCCGATGATAAGTTTGAATTTGTCTGCTGTTTGAATTTAAATTGCATCCATAAAAATGAATTTAGGAGAAGCTAAGTGTGCTAAAAAATTCAAAGTTAGCAAAAACTTTGTTAGCTCTGAGCTAAAGCTAAAGCTCAGAGCTAAAACTTTGCTATTACCAGCTAGCAGAAGTGTTCCCACCATTGGTTCTGACGGATCTTTGATCCTTGGAATAAAAATGGTGAATTTGCTGGAAGTCCTTGTTTAGCAGTTCTGAAACAAATATTAGCATGTTAGCGCGTTAGCAGCTTAGCGTTGGTCCTTCTGCTCCGTCAGATTACGTCGCCCTGTTCAGCACCAAGTGTCACGGCTGCGACTTCCCGGTGGAGGCTGGAGATAAATTCATCGAGGCTCTGGGCCACACCTGGCACGACACCTGCTTCGTGTGCGCAGTAAGAGCCGGCTCAGAGGCAGAGGTCAGAGGTCAGGCTGTCCTTTAAGTGCTGCTGTCTCTGCAGGTGTGCCACGTGAACCTGGAGGGTCAGCCCTTCTACTCCAAGAAGGACAAGCCTCTGTGCAAGAAGCACGCCCACGCCATCAACGTGTAGAGCTGAGCTGAGTGAGCAGCCGCCATGCTAACCACCAGCTACTGATGATGATGATGATGATGATTCTGCTTCCAGACAGGAAGTCCTGCTGCTGCATGCGACCGGGCTCAGGTCAGAGACAGCCGGCTCCATGCTGCACCTGCAGGGAAAAATGATCCCTCAACTACAGACGATGGGTTGATGCTGGAGAACAAATTATTTTTAACGTCACTTTTAGTCGTTGAATACAGTTTGATGTTTTAACACAAAGTTTTAGATTTTAAACTTGTGCCATCTTTTTATTCTAGACACAAACCATAAAGTTCTGTTTTTATTTTTTAATCAACCTGCAGATGTGCCTGTTTGACTTTTATTATGTATAGAGATGCTTTCAGCTCAACAGGAGTTTGGTTCTGGTTCTGGTTCTGGTGCCGATCTCTGGACTGAACAGCATCAGATCCAGAAACTCTATGCTGTGAAGCTTTTCTGTCTGCAGCAGCTTCATCTCAGACCCAACAGATCCACACAGGAAACGCTAACGAGTCGTTTCCTGTGTGACCTGCCGGGGCGCTGCTGCAGACTGAGCTGATGGAGCCGATCCTCCTCTGTCTTTATCTCAAACCTTTTCTATTTATTGATCGCTGAGTGTATTTTGAAGTGTTTATTTTAGTTTTTTTTTTACCTGAACTGTAAACGTGTCTGAGCTGCCGCAGATCAGACGCTCAGGTGTAACGGGTCCGTTCACACTGCAGAACTTCAGAACCACTTCCTCTGGATTACAGGAGGCTGCTGCAGCTTCAGGTAAATTAAACACAAACACAGAAATAATCCAGAATGACAGTAGAGATAATCACAATCTGCTTTTTAACCTGATTAACTTTTAATAAAAGTAAAAAACGTAGTTAGAGGAGCAGTAAATCTGAAAGTTTGATCAGAATCTGGACCAGAAACCAGATTCCAATCCAGAAGATTCAGGGTTGAGATTATTTTGGACCACAGAAACCAGTTTGCTAACTATAAATACTGTTTTAGCGTCTCCTGGTGGCTAGTACAAGAACTGCACTTAGATCTATCTTTCACCTCCATCTCTGCTACTGCTTTTAGTTAATAAGCACCAGTCTCAGCAGGTGTCTGCTAATATCCAGACCTCTGCTGTCAACCAGAAAGAACATCGCCCAACAGGCTAGAATCATCTGCATAGAAACGAATATTAAATATTATTGCTATGTTTGCTAAACCGTCGCTGCGTTGGCTGAGTAGATGTTCAGGAAACAGACCTGCTGCCAGAGACCTGAAGAGAATATTTCAGATTATAACCTGGGATGCAATTTAGCAACAGTTTTAAACAATGTTTGAAAGTTATTTTGACTTTATCCTTGTTGTATGTTTGTAACAACTGGTTTGTGTTTTCTGATCTAACTCTGTCATTTGGTTTAACGTTCTCACAGAAATCATGAAAGCTGTTACAATTAACAAGGTTTTTGCTAATTATTGGGGTAAAATGTTTTTCATTTATGTACGTATTCTCATAAACCTGTTTATAGCAGCCTCAACTGGCCGCTGAAGAAACTGCAGCCACTTCAAGCCAAAAAAAACTACGTAACTAAAGTCAGATTTTTAATTTAAATTTGTATTTTTTATGGAGTGAAACAAAAGTAATGATTTCTGATGTGTGTTTTTAGGCCATTTGAACATAGATTATAATAAAACCCAGCAGCAGTACCTTCAGTGACCACAGGTGTCACCAAAATCCACCTGAGAAGACAAGACAGCTCAGTATGACAGATTATTAGGGCCAGAATATGTTTTAACTTTAAAAAAAACTCATAATATTACCAGAAGAAAGTCATGAAATCATGAGAAAATGTATAAATTGGAGCAAAGATTGGAGAGAATAGAGATTTGATGTCTGTGGTTCTTTCTCCTAAATAGATTCAATTGTTTCAAAGTCCTGATAATAAATGTTAAAATATTATCTCCTTATTTGTCAAATGGAAACGAAAGCATAACTTCACAACATGCTGAACGTTCCTCATGTTAGCGCAGCACTAAGACTGATTTGTCAGTTCTCATAAAATTATTACTTTATTCTGATAATATTATGACTTCATTCTGGTGTTATTACACCTTTATGGTTGATCAACCTTTTTATTGTAATATTACTATTTTCATATTAACATTTTTCTGGTAAAAGTCATTTATACAACGTTTTTCTGCTAATGAATTTATTCTCATATTATTATGAGTTTATTTTTGAAAATTTTTCTTGTAATATTCTGATTCTATTCTGGTGTTTTTGGACTATTCTTGTATTATTACAACATTATTGTGAAAATATTATGACATTATTCTGTATTGTTTAACTTTACTGTAGGACCTTTTTGTTGTGATATTCTGACTTTATTTTCAAATTATTTTGACTATTGTCATATACTTTCTTTCTCATATTATTACTTTATTTTGATAATATTTTGTCTTTATTTTTGTATTTCAACCTTTTCTTGTAAAATTGTCTTTGTTCTCATGACAACATTCTCCCACTTTTAGCTCTTTCTGTCTCGTTTGTTGCGCCATCTAGTGGTGGTTTAAGGATCTGAACTAAAACAGTCTGAAGTTCTGCAGTGTGAACGTTGTTTCACTGAATGCTTGATTCTTTTTTAAAGATTATGTTGGTTTCTGTGCGTAGATCCGAGTCGTTCAGAGTCTTTGTGCCTTTTCTCCTCAGCAGCTCCGTTCGGGTCGGACTCGGTTTTCCTCCTTGTTGGGCCGACTGGTTCATGATCTGTGTTGGGTTTTTACTCCGTCTCGTCCTTTTATACGGTTTGTTTTCAGGGTGAATGCAGTGTGCATGCAGAGCAGCATGTCGGTGTTAGTTTAGACAGAGAAGTGCTAACCTCACCGTTTGAATTAAAGCTGCCTGGTTTCGTGTTGACAGGCGGATAACGAATAAAGAAGCACCGCAAACACAATCAGCTGGTCGTTTTCATTCTTTGAAATCTTATCATTCATTGGTCAGTAAGAAATCAGATTCATAAACTGTGGAAAACATTTAAATGATTGAAAATAAGGAATATTCTTTCTGTTCTCTGACCTTTGACCTTTATTCAGTTCCTGTTTCAGGTTTCTGTAACTAATTTGAGCTGCAGATGTCAAAATCACAATGATTCACTTTTAACCGACAATTATTGCAACAATCCTCAGACTGTATTTATATTTATTGCCACGAGAGGGAGGCAGAGTCTCCTTTGGTGTTGTTTTCAAATAAAAGCCCGTCCAAAGCAACTGGTCGGCAATTTACACAGAGGAGGAAATATGCTAGGATGTCTCACTCCCGCTCGCTTTAGAACAAACCAAAGAACTGCAGTTTCACTTTTCTTGAAGAATTTTTTAAAATATAATTATCACTTTATTTGTAAATGAAATTGACTAACTTTACTGTCACTTTCACTGCTTTTCCACCCAGAAAACAGAGACACCAGCTTTTGAAACAAAACTTAGTTCTTTAATTAGGAAGGAGACGATCTGACAGATAACTCAGGGTTTTAAAATGAATTTTCAAATCAACAGGAAAATGGTTTTAATCAGGAGTTATGTGAAGTTTGCTGCTGCTTCAAGTTCAATAATAATTTTACATTCACTTATTAAAATGTGAAATAAAGTAGCTGAAGGCTAGTTATTTAAAATAAACTTAAACTCAGTTTAATTAAATTGTAAATATGTTCCTTTCTGTTATAGTTGGACTTAATAATTATGTAATATTTGATTTCTCCAGTTTAATAAAAACTGGAGGTATTTCTGTAGAATATTGATGAAACAGATTAATACAGTTTGGAATAAGATAAATTCATGCAGGTACTTTCCAGATATACAGTGATTATCAAAAGAATTTATGAAAATTAACTAAATCCAGCTTCCTTTCCCTCTGGTTTCTACTGTTTTCTCTTCCTTATCTTAAAATTGAAATGAAACAGCAACTGTAGCTGAATCAGGACTGACTGGGAGAGGCTCACTGAACAACCCAGAGTTCAATATCCAACATGGCGGCAGGTAAGTAAAAAGCCAAAAGAAGCACGATGGTAACTATCTATTAGCATAGTAGGAATTTATGTGGGAACATCTTCCAGATTTGTGATAATAAATTGACAGCAACTCAGGGTGAGGCATCCTGTAAAACAAGTGATCTATGTCAGATTTGCTATCCTTCAGTTTTTTCAACAACAAATCGGTGAGTTACCGTGTTTTAGAGAGGATCTCTGTCATTTTCCTGCCCTTCGTAGTGGCAGCAGCAGAAACGGAGTGAGGCGTCCTGTTCGGGAGAGGATCTCTGCCAGGTTTGTAACAAGCAGCAACAGAGTGAGAAATCGCGGAGCTGGAAGGAGGACCGATCCTGGAAATATCTGGAAAACGTTTGGAAATAAGAATTTTCTGTCGCTTCCAGCTCTGGATTTATTTATCTGGATAGTTTGGAAGAGAACCCTGCAATCATTTGGGAGTAAAGTCTACAGAGATCAATATAAAGGTAAGGGCAGATTTAACCTAATGTAACCCAGAAGTTGTCTCCTAACCTGCGCGCGCCGAGGCTCCTCAGCTCCGTCTATGTGCTGGAGCAGCCGCAGCCCGTGGGTGAAAACAGCCCAGATTTAAAGCGGCCGAGCCCCCAAGACCTCTGAATCACCCCGCATTTAGTGATAAAAGCCGATGTTTCACGTTAAAACCTTTTCCAGCGGTGGGTTTAGTTGGAGCGAACTGAAATGAGAGCGGAGTCAGGGGATCAGATTGGGTCTCTGAGTTGGCGCCAGGACATAGACGGATCCTGCCGTCGTGGAAAAAAGTTTGTTCTGAGCGCAGCCCGTCTTCCAGCTGACTTTATATCTAAAACATCAAATAAAAGCTTTAAAAACATTAAAATGTGTTTTATTTCAGTTTATCGGTCCGGGGAGGGTCGACTGGAGGGTTTTATTCGAACTTTATAAAGTTTGTTTACCACTAATTAGCCGCATTCCTGCCTGTTAGCTTCGCGGCTAACTCCGCTGGGAAAATGTTCCCGTTAATGTTTGGGTTTGTGCGGGTTCTGGTGGAGGCCCGGCTCGGTCAGAATGTTTCTGGGTCGGTTCTGGTGGTTCTGAGTCAGTTCAGCTCACCTGGCCGAACCGGAACCTGCTGGTTTAAATCCGGAGTATCACTGTGAACACGTCCAGTTATTAATAATGGACATTTTATGTCATGAAGGGATTATGACCTGACTCAGGTTATTTTATTTCCCTCTCAGCTCAGGAGTTTAAACACCTATATTCCTCCTGCAACTGGGTCTGGGTTTTGGACCAAACCCAACATGCTCTGGCGGTTCGGTTCGGGTTCTGCTGGACCCTCTCAGGTCGTTTCCAGCTGTTTCACATGTTAAATGATCACATTCTGCTGTAATTTCTGTGAAAAGGCCCTGAAACAGAGAAACTGGGCCCAGTTCCAGAACCGCTCTGGTTCCGAGTTCCAGATGTTGGATTCTGGATGTCTGGCAGTAACTGCAACAGAACCTTTGGTAATGTCTCCTGTTCATGTTGCCATGAATCGGATCAGAACCATGTGGATGTTTGGGAGATATTTTTCCTGATCCAGGATGGATTCCCGACCTGTTCATCAGAACCAACCAGCCCACATCACCACTCCTCCTCCTCCGTGTCTCCTAAGGACCGGAGCAGGAAGCTCAGCTCAGGTTCTGTTGGACCTTCCTGGTTCTGTCTCCAGAGAAACTGGGCTGTGATTGGCTGGAGGAGCAGCTGGTTGTCCAACAGATGGGAACGCTGGAGATTCCTAGAGGTTTCTACGGAGCAGATCTATCTTCCTGCTCCATCCTCTCTGCTCCAGTTTGGTTTTTCCAGGATTTTCCTCTCCTTTCGGAGTGTTTTCCCAATTTTCTGTCTCCTGGAGTATTTTTCCGGTCTTCCCAGTTTTCCCATTTTTCCTCTCCTCCTGGCTGAGGTTTCCCAGTTTCCCTCTCCTCCCCCTCCGAGCCTCCCGCTGCAGAACCGGATCGGGTTTCTCAGGCGGCTGAGAGGCGGCGGTGGAGGAGGAGGAGATCAGGTTTCTTCCTCCTCCTCCTCTGCCTCCCCCATCGTCGTGGAGACAGAGTGGCTGAGCGAGGAGGAAAACATGCAATCGGCCCTCTCCTCTTCCTCCTCCTCCTCCTCCTCCTCTTCCTCCTCCTCCTCCTCCTCCTGCTCAGCGCTGCAGCAGTAATGGCAGCCGGCGCACAGAGGAGCCATTCTTCTGGTTCCTGCTGCTGCAGTTCTAGCTCAGATCCAAACTGATTCTTTTTCCACTGAAATGATTCACTTGCATTAAACTGAATCTCTGGAGGTGAATCACTTTCCACTGAATCAGTTGTAAATGAATCAGTTCGATCCAAAATACTTTCATCTCTGTTTAATTGATTCACTGGAACTGAATCACTTTCAACTGAATTAAACTAATTTACTTTGACTAAACCACTTATTGACTCTCTTTAACTGAATCTGTTTCACTGAATCACTTTGAAATGATTCTCTACAATTGATTCTCTTTCACTGATTCATATTTATTTGAATCACTTCCAACTGAATCAGTTTCATGTGATTTAAACTGATTCATTTTAATTGATTCACTAATTCACTATAACTGAACCAGTTCCTCTGAACCAGTTCTTTTCTCTCTGATGAAGTGAATCATTTTTATTTCTCCATATTTTCTGAACGTTTCGTTGGACTGAAACCCAAACTCACCGGGTCACGGTTCTGTTCTGGGACTTTCTGGGTTTCTGATCAGAACCGGTTCAGATGAGTCCTGGTACCGGGTCTCAGTCCTACTGCAGCGGGTTTATTGGGTTGGGTTGGTTCTGGAAGCAGACCGCTTCTGATCTTCAGTAAATGATCTGAACAGGTTCTGGTTCTCCTTCCTGTTGGGTCATGACCCAGAGGTTCTGGTTCCGGAAGGCTCCTCCCTCCCGTCCTGGTACCGTGTGAAGACCGGTCCGGCCTCCAGGTTCTGTTTCAGGTCGTCCTGTGATTCTATTAATCTGCTGTAAGCAACCGGGCGGTTCTGACCCGCTCCGTTAGCCTCACTTCCTGCAGGCAGCAGCAGCCGGATCCAAACCTGCCGCTCAGCGCTGGTTTTCCTGGAGGCTGTGAACGCACCGCGCCCTTCTGGTGCTGCATTCAGGAACCGAATTAACGACCAGAGATTAAAGTCACGTTTTCTCCTAAAGAGCTGAAATCTGATTATGAAATATCAGTTTTTATGAAATGTGGTTTTGATTCGAACCGTCGCTTTTATGGTTTTCTGTGTGGATGCGACTAATTTTGTGGTATTAAAACGGTTTTATGAATATTTTATGTTCTGTCAGTCCTTCTGGACCCAGTTCACCGCTGGGCGGACTGGGAGCTGAGGACACACCAGCTCTGCCCGGTCCGGTTGGGCCCGGTCCGGTTGGGCCCGGCCCGGTTGGGCCCGGTCCGGTTGGGCCCGGCCCGGTTGGGCCGGTCCGGTTGGGCCCGGCCCGGTTGGGCCCGGCCCGGTTGGGCCCGGTCCGGTTGGGCCTGGTCCGGTGCTTGGTGAGGAAAGAGTCCGGTTGGACTGATAGGTTCTGTTTCGGCCCGACTGCAGGTCTGGGTTTCCAGGCTGCGTTCCTCCGTTCTGATACCAGAACCGGTTCCACTGGTTTCCACCCACAGGAGTCCAGCTTCCTGTGCTGGTTGCCATGGTTTCCGCTCTGGGAGCAGGTCGGCCATGTTTGCAGCCGAACATGTCGGTCATTCCTGGTTGAAACGTCCGAATGGAGCAGGAAACGGTTCTTCTTCATGCTAACATTTAATTTCTATCCATGTTGGTCTGCAGAAGTAAATCATATTAATATCCGTCTGATTTCAGCAGCTACTGCTGGGATTGTTGACATTTATATTCCTGCTTGTTTCGGAAGAACCTCCACGTGTCGGATTTATTGGAGGAAATCAGGTTTAGTTTAACTTTGTTTAGCTAAGCTTAGTTTATCTTAAAACTAATTATCTTTTAATTTCTGATTTCTGCTGTTAGCATATTTCCTTCCTTCCTGTTGCTCTCTGCACGTCTCCTGTCAGACAGTAGGTGGCGCTGCAGAAGTCAATGCTCTTTTATTGGCTCAGTCTAGTATTTAGGTCCAAAGCTTCCTGGACCGGGTCCAAAGCTTCCTGGACCGGGTCCGGACCGGCCGGACTCTTACTGTGAAGGAGCAGCTTCCTGTCTGGCTGCAGAGTGAACATTAACTCGTTGTTCTAAGGTGAATATTTTTATATTTCTAACCTCGTTGTTTGTTTTGCAGACCGGCTGCCTTCAGACTACATTTCCCATGGGGCCGTGCTCAGTCCTGCTCTCTGCTGCATTATGGAGCCTCCAGTCAGGTATGAGCTAAATAAGCAGATTAACCTCTGACCCCTGGGCCTCAGTCAGAGCTGGCCAATCAGGAGGCCTCCTGGTAGTTGACCACAGGCTGTGATTGGCTGATTGGCTCCGTCTGCTGGTCTGATTAATGGAGGAGAGCTGGAGGGATTTTTCTCTTGAGGGCGGCGGAGTCGGAGGTTCTGCAGCAGAGCCGGGCAGTCTGCAGCGCCTAATGGCTGCCATATGTCCCACCGCCCCGCCCCGTCTGGGCCGACCCGGCGGCTCCGGTTACAGCTGCAGCGCTTCGGGTTCTGGTTCTGCTGCAGGAGCCGTCAGGACCGACCTCTGGACCACCGAGCAAGGTCCACTGCCGTTTGAACGGCGACATGGTGGATGAAACCATCCGGCGTCGAGACTCCGACTGGACCACACACACACACCCACACACACACACACCCACACACACACACACACTGTCCTGTCTACTGCTGGCTGTTTACTCTGCTGTGGGTGAAGCAGAACCAGAGACAGAACTCCTCCAGGCTCCTCTGTGTGTGTGTGTGTGTGTGTGTGTGTGTGTGTGTGTGTGTGTGTGTGTGTGTGTGTGTGTGTGTGTGTGTGGCGTTTTCCATTACCTGCTTCACATTCCAGCAGCCTGGGAGGAGGGGGGGTTTGGGTTGGGTCGGGTCGGGGGTTCTGGTGATCGATGCGCTCCCTGGCTGTGATTGGCCGGTTCTAGTGTCTCTGACTCGGCGGCAGCTGTGATTGATGGACCTGTTTCCATGACGATTAAAGTAATTAAACCTCCTCCAGGACCCGCTGTGTGACCATGACGAGGCGCCCCAGAGGATTGTGGGTAGTCTGTGCGGCTGATGAAGCTGCTGGTTCTGGTTCTGTTTGGTTCTAATGAAATGAGCGGCGCAGCGGACCGACCTGGTGCTGCGATGCTTCAGGATGTCTGGCTGAACAGCAGCAGGGACAGAACGTCAAAGCTTTTTAATACAAATATAAAGTCAGAATAAAGAACAACAGAGCTGCAGCATAAACAGGATTAATAATCAATGGGATTTTATGGGTTCAGAATGATGTGAATGTTTCCTGAGCTTTAAAGTCAACAGACTGATTACAATAAGTGACAATAAAACAGCAAATCCCAGCAGGGAGAGAAAATCGGTTGATTCTATGGAAGGATCTACTGTAACGCTCGTCTGTGCACCTCAGATGCAGCAGGTCAGCTGTTTGTGTTGCTTTGAGGGGTTTTATTTCTCTGGAAGAGCGAGCGCTGCAGGGGAACTTCCTGTCGCTGATGGATGGACTTCCTGTCGCTGATGGATGGACTTCCTGTCGCTGATGGATGGACTTCCTGTCGCTGTTGGATGGACTTCCTGTCGCTGTTGGATGGACTTCCTGTCGCTGTTGGATGGACTTCCTGTCGCTGTTGGATGGACTTCCTGTCGCTGTTGGAAGGACTTCCTGTCACTGATGGATGGACTTCCTGTCGCTGATGGATGGACTTCCTGTCGCTGATGGATGGACTTCCTGTCGCTGTTGGATGGACTTCCTGTCGCTGTTGGATGGACTTCCTGTCGCTGTTGGATGGACTTCCTGTCGCTGTTGGATGGACTTCCTGTCGCTGATGGATGGACTTCCTGTCGCTGTTGGATGGACTTCCTGTCGCTGATGGATGGACTTCCTGTCGCTGTTGGATGGACTTCCTGTCGCTGTTGGATGGACTTCCTGTCGCTGATGGATGGACTTCCTGTCGCTGATGGATGGACTTCCTGTCGCTGTTGGATGGACTTCCTGTCGCTGATGGATGGACTTCCTGTCGCTGTTGGATGGACTTCCTGTCGCTGATGGATGGACTTCCTGTGTCGCTGATGGATGGACTTCCTGTCGCTGTTGGATGGACTTCCTGTCGCTGTTGGATGGACTTCCTGTCGCTGTTGGATGGACTTCCTGTCGCTGTTGGATGGACTTCCTGTCGCTGATGGATGGACTTCCTGTCGCTGATGGATGGACTTCCTGTCGCTGATGGATGGAAGCGACCTCAGTGCGATTTTTTGTATTCAGTCATCTCAGTTCTCCAGGATTCAATCCAAATGTTTTCTCCGTTCAACAGGATAAAAAAAGACTTGTGTGTCTTCAGGATGTCTTGTAAGTGTGACGTCACAAGATGGCCCTCATTTCCTGCTTGTGTCTCCTTGGCATCTGCGTCTAATGACATTAATCCAAATAATGTAAATCTCTCACCAACCCTGTTTAGTCACTTTGATGGAACTGTCGTCTGTTTGCCTAGTCAAAGTCTGGTTCGGTTAGTGATCTGTGAATCTGTAACCTCAGTCTGGATTCAGTTGAAGTGAACTGTGGTGTGAAAAGCTCCAAAAGCAGGAAGTGGGCCACAGCGCTGGGCATTCTGGGTAAATACAATCAAAGCTAGCGTGTTAGCCTAGCGCTAACAGCAGAAATGGCTCCTGGTCTTCAGCCAAAGACTAAAGAGAAATCACTAAACTCTGACGCCTCCATCTTGGTTCATCTGGTGAAGCAGGAAGTTGCTCTCAGTGTCTTGAGAGACTTTAGTGTCATTTCCTGCAGTAGTTGTTGCTGCAGTGCCCCCACAGGCCAGGAGGGGAACAGGCTGGTTTGGGTCAGAACCTCAGCAGCTGGAGGTGGAGCTGATGTTCTGGTTCTGGTTCCCAAATCAAAATCCACTGGACCATCAGGAGGAAAAACGGCCTGAAAACATCAGAATCCAGGATAACCAACCGTGATGTAGATGGGTTGGTTGTCGGGTCCATCAGAACCTCAGCAGGTGAGACGCTGGCAGGTTTTTCATGAACTCCTGGTTTGGTGGAAGGTACACATCATGGAGGCTTCCTGTTTACAGATGATGAGCTGTGATCTCCGTTATCAGCTCTAGTAACCAGGTTAATACAAACCCCATCCCAGATCAGCTGGAGGTGAAGGAAGGCACTGCAGGGTTGTTGGTTCAATCCTCTTTAAATGACTGAAGGAGCAGCACAGGTCAGAAATCAGGAGGAAGGATGGAAAGGAGGGCGAAGATGCGGCGCTGGCTCTGACTCCGAGGATTCTGGGTAATCTTATGCTAATCCACGGCAGGGCAGGAGGCAGAAAGCAGCCAAGCAAACAATGACAGTGGAGCCAGAAAGTCTGGGCTGCAGTCTCCCAGGCCCTGAAAGGCATGTCGGGCAGGGCGCCGACAGCGACGGGAGGCTGCAGCACCCAGAGGCCCGCCTGCAAGGAGGGGCCCCCACAGGGGCCGGGGAACGGGGCCAAGATGGAGGCAAGAGGAGGGGGAAGAAAACCAGAGTGGAGAGGAACCAGGCTGAAGCTGTTCACAACCTGAACTCCTGCTTCCTGTTCAATATCTGAAGCTTGAGAGCAGCAGCTGTGACACTAGCAGCAGCTGTGATGCTAACGTATGTGAAGCTAACAGCAGCCGTGATGCTAACGGCAGCCGTGTAGCTAGCAGTTGTGTAGCTAACCTCCCTCATTAAGCTGGAGCTCGGCTGCTGCTGGTTTCTCCAACCGTTAGCCTTTCATTTATTCTGCTGTCGCTCTTCCAGACAGGAAGTGACGATGTTAATGGCTGACAGTCGATATCTGCTTCTGCAGGTCATCTGGATTCATCATGGCTGCCGTCCGCTCTGTGGTGTTTCTGGACGTGTTAAAGCTGTAACACGTCCAGTAAATATGAGGATAAAGTATCTTGGTGGCATTGAGGTAACAACTATTAGCTGTTAGCTGTTAGCCGTGTTCAGAGTGGATCAAATCTGCCTCACATGAATCATCTGACCGGTGAAATCAGAACCCATTATCGGTTCACACCTAGTTTCTATCAGTCTGACCGGGTGAAAGGTTGTTTCTGCTCAACTCTCTGAAGGTCCCACCAAAATATTTCAACCTGATTGAGCTCTGGACTTTGACTAGCCCATTCCAACTCCTTGATTCTTCTGTTCCAGTTGTTCTGTTCTCGATCTGCTCTATTTGGACCGAGCTTTGGCTGTTGGACAGATGGACTCACCGTTCACCCTGAAATACTTTGGTCTACAGAGGAGATCCGGGTCCATTCAATGACTGCCCACAGCATCATACCTCCACCACCGTGCTGGACCATGATGGACAGATCCTTCAAACAGCAGCTTTGCTAACCTCAATCTTGCCGCCATCTTGTTTCTAGAGAGGAGAGACTATCTTCCTCCCCCTGGTGCAGTGCAGGGTTTCCCCTAGTGTACTTTAAGCCTGGAGGGCTACCAGGCTTTACTTGAGGCCCCACCAGGCTGAGCTTTGCTTATTTATTCAAGTCTTTTTAAAATGTTTGCATTTTTAAAACTTTATAGTAGGTGTGACAACCTGCTCATCTGTAGCGTTTGATATGGAGCTTTCTCTGAGCTTGGGCTGAATCTACTGGGACGTTTGAGATAAACAATGGACATGAGGTGGTCCAAAGATGACCTTTGACCCTCACCAGACTGATGGACAGCAGCAGGTGCTTCTTGGAGGTCAGGTGGTCTGTGTGAGGTCATCTGACAGTGATGGTTCAACTGGAGTGGAGACTTGGTGAAAGGATTGGTAATTATTGGTGATTATCTGTGATTGGCCCACATCTCTGGTTTCTGTCATCAGTTTTGATCTGAACTGATGCTGTAGCATCCTGCACTAGTCGTCTGGACGAGAGTAAAGGTCAAAGGTCTTATTATTTCCATCTACATAAGACCTTTGACCCCTGATCAGGTTGTGTGACCTGATCAGATTCCTTCCCCCAGGGAGTGACCATGACTCAGCGGTTCCTATTAGGCTGACGAAGCTTCCTCCTCCCCCCGATGTTGGCCTTCCGGAGCAGGAGGAATCAGAAGCAGAACCAGGCGGTTCTGGTTCTTCTGCGGTCCGGACGGCGATAGCGGAGAAGTGGAGGAATCTTCACCTGGTTGCCACAACAAAAACACTCGTGTGTTTGGGAGCCTTCGCTCCGCTTGCAGATGGAGACGAAGACAACGGCAGAGATAAGGACTCAGACCCGAGGTCCAACAAGACCGGCAGGCCCGGTTTGAGCCCGCGACAGGAAATCACCTCCCTAAATCACCCAACACATCCACTTCCCTTTGAAAACACGATGGAGGCGAGTCCAGCTGGGCCGGCGCCGCCTCCTCTTCATCATCCTCCTCCTCAGTCATGTTCTGACTCGCCTCAGACTCCCAACATGTTTTCATGGGTCTATGAGCGTCGCGTTCCGGTCGGGTTCTGTTCAGCGAGGACGGGTCCAGATGTCAGGAGCCTTTAGGAAAAATGGAGCAGAAAATGATTCAGTCACTAAAAACCTGCAGAAAGATTTAAAGTGTTTTTAATTTAGTATTTTGATTTATAAAGTAAAATTAAAAAAAATACATACAATTTTAAAAAATGAAGTCATTGAATTAAAACACTGCAGGGTTTTTAATAATTTTTTTTTAGTTTTATTTGTGTAAAAAAATTTAATATTAAGAAATACAAAGTAAAACATTATTTTAAATAATCACAGATGGTCCAACGATGCAGGTTTTAATTTCTTAACAAGAATTTAAAATGATGTAAAAAAAAATAAAGAATAAAAAACAGGACTAAATAATAAAATCCAAATTAAAACAAGCATAAATGTCTTTTCATTGAAATGTTTGTTTACATTTTTAATAAATCAACTTTAAATAAATAAAAATGACTTTGACCTTTCACCTCTTGGTATCCTCTCTGGTTTCCATGGAGATGAGGCCACCAGGTTCCGGTTCTGATCTGAATCCGGGTCAGAACTTTTGACCTTTCTGGTGTTTCTCTTCCAGGGTTTCGGACCTACAGAACCAGTGAGACCCAGCAGAACCTGAGCTGTTGATTCTTCTGGACCCACTCGTTCCCCTCCCCCACCCGCTGCTGCTGCAGACCCGCCGCCAGCCCGTCCCGCTGTGGGCCGATCAGAACCAGCGTCTCTGGAAGCGAAGCTGCTGCTGTGTTGTTCTGGGCCCGGTTCTGGCTGCAGGATGGCGGTTCTGACCGGTCTGCTTGCTGCTCTCCTGCTGGCTCTCAGAACCCAAGGTAAGGCACCTCAGGTCCAGTTTGTCTGGTTCTGACAGAGATTTCCCTGGAAGTAGAGCTGGAATTATCTCATCCGACCCAACAGAACCAATACATAAATTTTCTGCCGCTAGTCTGGGTTCGGGTTGCGGGGGAAGTAGTTTCAGAATCTGGACCAGTAAAAAGTCTAATTCCCAGTAACTTCATAAAAAAACTGACCTTTGACCTGCTGGTCCAGGCCGGTTCTAGTGATCCCTGGCCCGGTTCTAGTAATTCCAGGCCCGGTTCTAGTGATCCCAGGCCCGGTTCTAGTGATCCCAGGCCCGGTTCTAGTGATTCCAGGCCCGGTTCTAGTGATTCCTGGCTCGGTTCCAGTAATCCCTGGCCCGGTTCCAGTAATTCCAGGCCCGGTTCTAGTGATTCCAGGCCCGGTTCTAGTGATTCCAGGCCCGGTTCAAGTGATTCCAGGCTCGGTTCTAGTGATCCAGGCTCGGTTCTAGTGATCCCTGGCCGGTTCTAGTAATTCCTGGCCCGGTTCTAGTAATTCCAGGCCCGGTTCTAGTGATCCAGGCCCGGTTCTAGTAATTCTAGGCCCGGTTCTAGTAATTCTAGGCCCGGTTCTAGTGATCCAGGCCCGGTTCTAGTGATCCCTGGCCCGGTTCTAGTGATCCAGGCCCGGTTCTAGTAATTCCAGGCCCGGTTCTAGTGATCCAGGCCCGGTTCTAGTAATTCCAGGCCCGGTTCTAGTGATCCAGGCCCGGTTCTAGTAATTCTAGGCCCGGTTCTAGTAATTCCAGGCCCGGTTCTAGTGATCCAGGCCCGGTTCTAGTAATTCTAGGCCCGGTTCTAGTAATTCTAGGCCCGGTTCTAGTGATCCAGGCCCGGTTCTAGTGATCCCTGGCCCGGTTCTAGTGATCCAGGCCCGGTTCTAGTAATTCCAGGCCCGGTTCTAGTGATCCAGGCCCGGTTCTAGTAATTCCAGGCCCGGTTCTAGTGATCCAGGCCCGGTTCTAGTAATTCCAGGCCCGGTTCTAGTGATCCAGGCCCGGTCCTGCTGGTCCCAGCGCTCTGACTCGCCCCCACTCGCCCCTCCCCCTGCAGGAAGCTGTTGAAGCGATTGCTGCCGCTCTCACTTCCTCCCGGCTCATAAAGCGTTTCCTGTATGCTGCTGCCGGCGGCCGCTAGCAGCGCAAAGCCATCCAGGCAGCCATGTTCTCCGGAAATATCCCTGGTGCTTGAAGTCCGGTCCGGTTCCCCTCGGAGCGCTGCGCTGCGAGGGGTTCTGGTTCTTGATCTGGTTCTGGTTCTGTATCTGGCTCTGTATCTGGCTTGGATCTGGTTCTGGATCTGGTTCTGGATGGTTCTGGCTCTGGATCTGGTTCTGGATCTGGTTCTGGTTCTGGATCTGGTTCTGGTTCTGGTTCTGGATCTGGCTCTGGCTCTGGTTCTGGATCTGGTTCTGGTTCTGGATCTGGTTCTGGTTCTGGATCTGGTTCTGGTTCTGCCTGCTGCAGCAGAACCTCAGCAGACAATAGAGAGCAGAGTGAGCCCTCTGTCCGTTCGTCCAGCTCTGTTCTCCAGGACCTTCCCGTCCTGGTCGGTGATGAAACCAGCTGCTGAGTTACCCAGCATGCTTTGCCAGACCTCTGCTGGCTCTGATGTCCCTGCAGCACAACGCTGCAAAATCTGTAGAAACTCCAGACGGAGGTTGAACCGGATCCATTTTCTGACTGGAAACTTGTGTTAAGTATAAATTAGACAATTTATTGATCACAATGCATGACTTGGACGTTTCTGTATCTAAACTGAGCCAAAGTATGAAACAACTAATAAAAACTAAAGAATATTTAACTGATTAAAACCAAGAAACACTGTAAAAACCAAGACAAAATCAACTATAGTAAAAACCCAAATCTGATCAGTTATTGATTAGCTGGAACCGTCAGCTGATCAGGATCCTCTTGAGGAAAGAGGTCTCACTCTGACGGTCTATTGCAGTCTGTTTAACTCAGAGGATCTCTGTGCCATCAGCCTGTACCTGTGGTTCTGTCTGGTCCAGCTGCAGGTCAGAACCCGGACCATGTTCTGCTGGGGACCGGCGTGAACCCGGAGGCCGGCGACCGGAGA